AGGGTGATTAGTACTAATGAAAGGGTGTTTATGGGAAAGTCTGTGAGTCGAGTATATTGCATCTAGCGAGGTGGAAAATGTTGTTCGCCGGGGGTGAGAACATGATTGGAAATATGGGGGAAGGCCTGCTCCCAGTGCATCGACTCGACTCGGCAGAGCTCTAGCTCGCGAACGAGTGTCAGCCACCTCAAGAGTCCGCCCACTTATCCAAATTTCAACACACCACGGTTGTCAATTTTGACGGTTTAGTCGATCTTGATATTCCACTCCCATCTACCTTCCTTGAAACCATTTGCTGTATCCTCGAGCATGATCTCATTACGCTTCTGTACGTAAACCTGAATAATAGGATCAATACCCGAATTCTGAATGAATATATTGAAAGGTATTCACTGTCTTATTGGTGATCTTTGAGCGCAAGTCTGGGATCGTATCCGGCTCGATCGGGGATTCCAGCAATTCTGACAAGTCTTCCACTGCCTTCTCCAAGTCACTATTGAATGGAAAATCGTAAGTCCATCGATCAGTGGTAGCTCGAATAAGGTTAGACGAACCGTTGGTTGTCTTCGAAAAGCTCCTTTGCGTTGCTTTTCTCCAAATAATAAGCCATCGCGTATGTCCATTTGAGGGTCATGCGACATCGTAACACCTCTTCGACAGCCTTCTTGGCGAATTGTACTTCAATCCATGTAAGGTCGGTGGTCATTTGCATCTCCTCCATCTTCTTTTCAGTCTTGACATAGAGTTCCGCTGATAAGCGTGCCGACTGCTCATGATTGGCCCATCGATTGTAGTACTAGGAAGAATAGAGTCAATCTCTTGTGAACAAATGAAATCTAAAATCAGACGTACGTGCAGATAGCGCTCCAATGATATACGGCTCTTGGATTGTGCATCACGTGCCTCTATTGCCGCCTTATCATCATAACGATTACAGCTATACCATTGGGTTCCATGATCAGACCAAGGTCCTGGAACACTGTCAATACAGTCCCTAAAAATAAGGATTGTCGCTTACCCATGCAAACCCAGCAGAATTCATGTCTACATTTCTTGCAAGTCATGTGGCTAAAGCAGAACTGTTCAGGAATACAGAAATGGAAAGGATGACGAGATACCTACTTGCAGCCTCCATTCTTCTCTATGGTACTTTGGCACTTCGAACA